ACAAGTCTTATAATCCCTGAATCTAACCGCATGTGAAGCCTACCCTGGTCCTAAAGTTTCAAGTGTGTGGATCAATGAAATCCTGTTATTTATTAAAGCCAGGTTAACCTGACCTTCAGTGACAAGAAAAAAAACCCGATACTGGGGGAAAAAAATCCCCAGTCAGTCCTAATCTAAGTCCCAACCCTGCAGACTGGGTTTGCATTTCAATAGAAAAATACAGCTGCCTATTCCTACAGAAAAATTACCATTCAGCCAACTCGGGAATATCAAATGCCTGAAGAAGCCTCTTGCTAGACCACTTTCTCAAAATTAAAACAATTTTCAGGGAGAAACACATCTCAAACATAACAGCAAGTACCATCTTGGGTCTGATGTGACTTGAGCCAAAACGTCTATACGCTAACCTATGGATGGTAATAACAAGACAGTCAAACCCTTCACATGGAGACACACACACACACAGACATGCATGTGCATATTGGCTCAAAGAGGGACACTGCCAATGTGCACACTGGTCTACTTCCAATAAAACACAAGTGTTAAAGAATCCTTCATAGACTTTAAAGAGGAAGAGATCTTAATATTGAAGGTACTACTGAGTTATTTTGAATAGTGTAATTCAACAAATAAGAGATACCCACAGTATACGAAGGAATAAATTTTTATATTGATTTCAGATAGACAAATGACTCTTTCATAGCCAGCTAAATAAAACAGATGTTCCCTTTGAATAAGAACTGTGATTACAAACCTAAGGTTTAACTTCTTGTTACTGATACTAGGTCATTACTGAGCATGTCACAGGCTAAAATTTATTACATTTGTTTCTTACAACATAGACCTTAAAATTCCAATAGTATTCCCAAGAGTTTTATTCCTTCATGGTAGGACCTCTGTCAGAATATAGCAGAGCACAAGACCAAATCCAATCTCTCTCTGAGCATCTTTCTTTCTTTTAGTTTTTTACCAGTGAGAATGACACCACACATAAATACGAAAATGT